AACAAAGTCACAGCAAGAAACCTAATTGCAATACGGCCTACTAAGAAAATACTTGATTGTTCTGCAAGTGGGTGTCCCATGTGCACGATGGTTATGTCACAGCATGGCCCCCACAAAATGCCATCAACCACATCCCTATTCGTAGGTTTTTTCGGTAAAGTCACGTAGGTAAAAAATTTTAATTAATAAAAGTATCGTGCTGTGACGGTTCCACCTGCAGACGGAAGCTTGTGTTGCCTCCGAAACGTCATGGTTTTTATTTTATTTTTATTTTACTTTTATTAATTTTAATTTTTTACCTACGTGGCTTTACCGAAAAAAGCTAAGAATATGAATCCTTGCAGTCACGAAAGCTTCAAATCTAGAACACATCCCTATTCTTGGTTCTTTCGGTAAAGTCACGTAGAAGGGTAATAATAAAATAATAAAAATATTATTGTTTTTATTTTATTATTTCCCTTCTACGTGACTTTACCGAAAGAACCAAGAATATGAATCCCTGCAGTCACGAAAGCTTTGAATCAAAATTTGACCACATCCCTGTGACGCAGGTGTGCGCAGGGAATGGGCTCCAGTTGTTCAGAGTACATCGCTGAATTTCTGACCACATTCAGGGACACCTACCCCATTAACGTCTCGAGTGTTCACAATGCAAGCGCAAACACAAACAGTTCGCTGAGCTGTGACAAAATTACCGCATTGCAATCAGGCAATGCCTATTGTGCGCGCGGTAACAATCAATGAACACTTTCTCAGTCGCCTCGGAGAGGCTCATGAATGGATTTTGGCATGAAAATATAGGCTTCAGCACATTGAAGGAAGTTAGTGCATTTCTGCCGTTTGAATGAGAAGTGCACTGGCAGTCCCTTGGACACAAGTATGGTCCCAATTTGTGTTGTAGTGTCAGCAAAAATAACCGCAAATTGCTGGGAATATGGGACCCCAAAATACGCAGTTTAAATGCAAGGTTGGTGTTGTGTTATCATGCATTTCACGTTTAGTTCATTCTCACTTATATATTTCCTGATTCGCTTATAGATTTACTAAATCGATTTACACAGCACCTTATTACCTTCAGACCGAGTTTCCATCGCTGTCATTATCATCATTGATGGGCGACAAAAAAAACCCAACCCTAATTTAACTGAATTGCATACAACACAGTGTTATTTCTTCGCGTTCAGATCTCAATGCCACAGTGTCCTTTGGCTTGCCTGTTTGTTGGATGTTATCGCTTTTAGCGTTCACTCTGCACACTGATTATTTGACGATTCACACGGCCAGGAGTCTGGCAACCTGTGGTTCCGGACCAAACGTGCGGCTCTTTAAGGACTACCTCGTGACCTTATTAATGAGAACCACCGTTTCGTATTCACCGTGTGCATTGCGGCTCTTGATCCGTTTTTTTTTTTACCGAATTCGACAACAAACCCGGCTCTCCTTGTTATTTGAGTTGCCAACCCCTGCACACGGCCAATGAAGATCAACGCTTCGAGACTAAGAGGCCGTCCATAAATGACGTCACGCACCTAGGAGGGGGGGGGGTCAGACATTTGTGACGATGTGTGACGAGGGGGAGGGGCGGTTTGAGAAATGTGACGTCACATCAAAATGCGCAACTTTAAATAAATATAGACAACACGTTCTACTTAATTAAATAGACTTTTTAATAAATGTTTTCTCCTACAAAATCAGAGTGCAGCGCCACATTAAATACGCACTACAATGACAATAGTGTAAAGCGATTTGAAGCATGTTTTATTTTGGGGGGGGGGGGCATAGCTTTGTGACGTCATATTTGAGGGGGGGGGTCTGACTTTTTGTGACGCCGTGTGACGAAGCGGGGGGGGGGTCAATAATCGTCCAACATCGCGTGACGTCATTTATGGACGGCCCCTAACTGTGCCACTCGTTTTGCCCGGCAGCATGTGTTGGTACATTACAGTCGGTCGATCGGCAGTTATGTCACGTGCGTGTCGGAGGTATAGTGCGAGTACTCCCAGCACTTTCTAGGTGTCCGGCCAGCCTGGAAGAGTAGGCCAAAAATACCTTCCAGATAGGCTCTCTAGAGCTCTCGTTAGTAGAGGCCCTACCATCGCGAACAAGCAGTTGCAGGGCTGCACCCACACCTTATAAGTTAATAATAACGACAATGCATACAATGTAATACAGTGATGGTGTAACACTCTTAGACAAGACGTTTTTGTCATTTTAATGACACGTTTATAAGAAAAGAACATGGTTATATTTGACAATGACTTTAACGAATATAAAATCTGTTTTTAGGAGTCAATTTGTCTGCTCAAATATCAGCTATTGCCAGCGGTGTCCATTGGTATGATGATGAATAATTTAATGTGGACGCGGACACTTCGCATCAGAAGCCTTCCGAGGAATTGAAAAAGACTGGGTTTGCTGGGTACATCAATGAACCCATCCCATGCCAGGCTGCAGAGCGAGCGTCATGATGATCTCTCTGTATGAAAGCCCGAGAGAAAGCGGACGTAACTATGAACCGCTGTCTATTGGATAAGCAATAATTTTTTTTATGGCAGCAGTGCAATTTAAACAAACTAATTCAGAAATATATTCTTGGTTCTTTCGGTAAAGTCACGTAGAAGGGAAATAATAAAATAATACAAATATAAAACAATAAAAATTCTCACGACGTGACTTTACCGAAAGAACCAATAATATGAATCCCTGCACTCACGAAAGCTTTAAATCAAAATTTATTCAGAAATGTTGAGCAGTCAGCTACTGCATAAGGGCGACGGCAAAATGGGAATCGCGTCACACCACAAACTCGACGACCAGCGCTAGAGTCTAAAGCCACCGCTAATATGAGTGGCAATTGATATCTGAACCAATTCCGGGCCCTCCTCTCTTCACCAATCCACGCTGACCAGCGTGTTGAAGTAATGTCAATCCCCGATGGCATGCGGAGTTCTTCATCCAGCAGTAGATTTAAGAAGGAGTGTAAATCATTATTATTGAACGAATGTAAATACGTAAATAGCACCCCTATCCATTGGTGCCGATATATGATTTCTGGCCTCAACTTAATGTAAAACATTCATTCTGAGCCAGCGATGTAAATTCCACTTGGTGAACTTTCAATACTCTCTTGGGGTGTGGGTTGTGTGGCGCTGCAGGAGATTCCATGGTGCAGATCCTGAGCAGTTCAAGTGTGCAACCCAGTGGAGACGCAGCTGGTCTGTAACTTTTTTTGTTAAATATAACTTTATTTGAAACGGGGAAAAAAAATCTGCAGAAGCCACAGCAAGCCCGGTGCACTCGTCCAAGTCACGAGCACTCCCCGGGGTGTACTCTCGCGGATTTCAATATTCAAATCGTCACAGCCAACCAGTGCGAGCGAGCTGGCTGTGTGGTCACCACACGTGACCGCGATTGGTGCTGCGCTTCGTGACTCTCGGCCATATGGAGGTTTTGGTGTGCAGATCGGGTCATGGAGTTTGTCCACCCGTGCTGTATGGGATGACCACTGTTGATTTCACACCAAGTGGCACTCACTTTGTTGAATGTCGAGGGATGACGAGGACAGGATTGGGTTGTGAACTATGAACAATTTGTATTTGACCAGGTAAGGCCCACTGAGCTATATAGATATTTTTCAGAAGTGACCTGGCCACAAGTGATAGCTCAAGGAAGTGGCTTATCATGTGGAATTTTATAGCAGCCAAAAATTCTAAACGCATGTTTCTAAATGTGGAGGAAGAACAACGGAGGACCCGTAAAAATATTCACGCGACCACGGGGAGAACATGCATACTCCAAATATACAGGAGTCAGGCTCTGGCTCGCACCCACGACCTCTTCCATACCAGGCGAGGAAGTAAACACCTCGCCACCCTTCCGATTGACAGTCAAGCACTCTCACGACAGTGACATCCAGCCCGATGGCCACCGATGAGTTCATAGAAATGTAAACCAGCTGAAGTCTTGACAAAAAACTCGAAGCATAACAATGATCAATCTCATTGATTCACGAATGGAGACACGATCTGTGATGCGTTGATGTGAGACACGGCCAGTCGGAGTGTTGTTTTGTTCTGACATTGTCCATTTACAATGGAAGAATGCATTATCCATTGACTGACAGGCATTGGTGAATGGTTGACCTATCATTGTTTGAACACATCAATACATAGGAATGTAAAATAAAATAGCATCCAACTGTTTAGCTCAAAGCTCTGCAGCTCCACAGTGCAGTGGATATCAAGTGAAATATTGATTGCAGTGAGATTGCACCATGACCCCAGAGCTTTATAGTTTAAATGCTGCAATGATTTGGTACGAAATTCACTCCTGTCTCCTGCAAAACCAAAACAGTCAAGTTCCATAGGAATAAAAAAAATCACTCTTGGATGCTATCAATTTACCGACGTATGCAATTGTGTATGAAGAAATTGAACAAGCTTGCGCTCTACAATTATTGCACGACGTTATTTTGCATGATGTTTGGCGCGCAGGTCTCGCAATCCAGAGGTGGCTGGCTGAATCTCCGGGCGAGGCAGTTGAAACATCGGTGCAAGTTTTTTTTCAACCCTCCCCAACCCCCCCCACTTATGTCCACCCATTGGTGTAAATGGGTTCACCACAGTAAGATAGGCAGGTGCGTGTGTGGTGAGAAAAAGTGTAGGTACTACCACCACTGCCAAGACAGTCTGGTCAGCATGGATGAGTAAGGTCCAAAAATAAAATAGGGCCTTCTCTTGGACCTCCCTCTAGTGGAGGCCCTTCTGCCAGCAGTGGTATGAGCAAAAAAAACTGCAGGGCTGCACCTTTACCTTTATGTTTCTTGAGTTTCAGCCCACAAAAAAAAACACATTTGGTAGTGTACAATGGTGCCGATGTAAAATATATATATGTGGGCAGTTAATTTTTTTTATTTTAGTCGGCTACTACAACCACCAACTTGAGTTGCCCTTTAATGGTTGTCAGTGTTTAACCTACAAGCACATGACTGCAGAGCTTACCCATAGAGAGCAGCAACTGGCCTCTTTCCACTGGTCTTGGGCCGGTTTGGTTTGGGCTCGCCCGCCATGTTAATATCTGTCAAAACGGAAATATGCGACACGGTTACAGTACTCCCACAGAAGGGCGCAGCGCTTCTGTTCAGCGAGTCAAAATGTTGGGTTGAAAAAAAAAGACCAACAAGAAAAATCTTCTCGGCAGCAAAAAAAGCACTTGTAAAAAAAATATTACAAGTTTAAAAACATCATAATGTATTAGCAGTTGCTAATATATATTTGAAGATGATACAGTGTGTTGTTTAAAAATATTGCTTAACGCTCCTTTATTGTAAACATGAACATGTTTTGCTTATTCTGTATGTGTTAAAAGTGATGTGTGCAATTGCCTGATAAAATGTTGGCATTTTTTTAATAATATAAAAAAGTTATACATTTAGTCCTTAAAGCCTCAGTAAGTCTCAAGGCTTTTCAATTAGGGTCCTGTTTGGAATGTCTGGGAAATTCCTTGAAAATATTTTTTGTAAGAACATGTTTCCTTCGCTTTATGCGGGTTCGGCTTGGGCGATTCGATGTATAAATGCAAATAATTTATTTCTACCAAAAAAATCGCTATATATGTGGTTTAAATTCGCTCATATGCGGCTACGCGGTCGGACGTGAGACAACATTGTGTGTGGTGCATGCACTACTCGGCAGGCAGCTGTCCCGTGCAGTTTCGTTTTGTGCGTAATTTTTTTATGCATCTTCTGCACAAAGCGAGGGAAACCTGTAAAAGCAAACTGGAGTTGGTAAAGAACTCCCCCGCCCCACCCACACAACTCAGGAAACAATACACACTCAAGTTCCACACCGACAAGTCATTTACTTTATGTACTGCTAGCCAGCTCACTAACCCCTGCGAGTGGTAGTCCAGTAATACATGATCTCATCGGCGTGCACCACAACACCCAAGCCCAGCAGCAGTCATCTTCCTGGTGGATTTTGTCGAGCATCAAACTCTTTGAAGCAGTTTGCAAGCGCAAGTAGGCGAACAAAACAATGTGAGCCTCAGCTGTATTCCTTTGTCGTTTTTTCACGCGTATTTTCTTTCGCGTGCATAATGTTCATATTCAGCTGGAAGGCTCACTTGACTCTGAATGAAGAGTGATGAAATAATCCGTGTTGACTTCGTGTTTCAAACTGGCATAGAATTTACTAATACAGCCATGGTTGTGACAATTTATTATGAGTAATTCACAATACTGCGGATAAATAATGTTAATTACCAACACAGGTAGAAATGCAACATCGTTAAACTGGCTCGTGCATAGAGGTCAGATATAGATGTATGCACGTCTGATGATCACATAGATAAAAAAAAGTTACACAAGCTAGACGCCTCATGATATGCAACAACCAAAATCACCGTAAGGCCTCATCATTTACATTGCGGCCAAAGCAAAAGCAGCAAGCAAATTTGGAAATAGCAAAAGTGAAAATTACCATAATAAATAAATAAATATTCCATAAAGTCACCCAGCACTCCGATTGCCAATTCACGTGGAATCATAATACAACTCTCCATTGGATGTGTGTTACATTATTATTGAAGAGGATGAAAGAACTCCCGGAAAATGTAGTCACAACAAACGTTCTGCCTTTGAAATGAACGTGATATTGAACGTCTGACGGTAGTAACAAAAATATTGTTCTGACCGCAATAATGTTAATGATCGCTTGTGTTGATTGCTTGTGTTGCAATCGAAACGTCGTATGCTAGTATTTGATTTATTATTTTATCTTTATACGTGACTTTACCGAAAGAACGCAATAATGTTCTTATGTAACCATCTAAACGGACAGCGAAACTAATTGCATTAAATGCATAAATTATTGAAGGAAAACTTTTTTTTTAACTCCTACAGGAATTTCTTTTTCACCTTGAGGCCATCGACTTTTGAGAAAGTTATTCAAATGCTATTAAAATTAACTGCAAGTTGATTAAAAAATTGCTGGTACTGAACGAGTAATTTTACCAAGGCGTGCAATTATGATCCAGTTTTCTTAGTTTGATAAACAAAATTTACCAAGCAAAAGCTCACCATTTACCCTTTAAAGATTACCAATGTGCGGCCAGTAATGAGTGTGCAAGAATGAATCATGTGTATATCATAGTATTGGCCAAATTTTTTCATATCACAATATTCCACAATAAGTGCTGGTGTCAAAGGTCAATTTGTCCAAAACGTTTGTTCAAGGAATGCCTTTAAAGCATTTTGCGTTCAGCATAATATGTAGATAATTTTTTATATACAATAGTTGGAAAATAAGTATCATCATAGTGTTAGCAACAAGCATTAGTTAGTCGATCGACAGGTCGTGTAGAGTGGGGTAAAGTGTGAATACTCACACCTCTTCCGAGACGTCTGGCCAGCATGGAAGAGTAGGCCAAACACCCTCTAGAGGAACTCTCTAGAGCTCCGTCTGATTATAGGTCCTGTTGCCAGCAGCAGTATGAAGCTATTGCAGAGCCACACCTTTACATCTTCATTTGTACAATTCAAGACTTAAAAATCAAGGCTCAAATATAACGGACTTTTGTCTTCTCCTCGTATCAAATTCCATCAGGTGATCTACGTATATATGTAAATCTACTGTATCGTAGCGGAGACCTGTACTTTCATATTCAACGTAGGCATTTTGCTTTAGAAAAACAGAACATCCATTACTTTGGCACAGCTGGTTGCACGTAATGAGAGGTAAACACACGTTTACGTAACCACTATAAATAAAGAGAATGGCCACTAATGTATAGTCACGTATTAGTCCTAAATGGCGTTTTTTTAAGTACTTGGTCATATTCTTCCAATGTGTCTTGAGTGTAGCAGATGGTGTTACAGAACAACAACTGGTTGTCTGTGACATCTGCACAACACCTTTTGTCGTAAAGTATCTTCTAATAAGGGACATTTCGGTCTCAATGGACCCTTGTTAAAGAAAAAAAGGTACTGACGAACAAATACAACTCCTATTTTCGAGTGAAAAGAGTTACGGGATTTTATTTCACTCCTAAAAGAACGTCCTAAGGCTTTCGCTGCTGTGGTGACATGCTTCCCTTAAATAGGGTCAAAAATGTTATTTTGGGGGAAGAACGATGAGTACATGGATACCGAGTACCTCTCGATCGGTCCATGTGCCTATGTTAGTGTCACACGCGGAAAAATGCTAGCGAGCCATTGTTTTTTTTCCAATTAATTGCCGACATTTAAAATTGGCAAAAAAACGACTGTTCAAAGACCCACGCTAATTGACACAGAATAGCAAAAGTTATGGATGCATACATTATGCATTAAAATTGCCATATCAACATTTCACGTTAGTTAATATTTAATGAAAAATTCACCATTAAAGATAAAGGTGCGGCGTAAATCAGCCATGAAATGTACTTGGCCTATCAGCAAAATGCTAATTTCCTTGCATTCGATCTGCTCAGTGTTGCCTAAATTCCTACATCTATTATGAATTAATTTGTATATATGTATTTGAGTTCCACCATCCCCCATTCAGTCATAAATGAGCTTACTCTATTTATGGCAGTAAGCCTGTCTCAGTGGAACTCATTTGTGTCAGTGATTCAGCTGCCTAGATTACTGCAGAATGTGGGGTGCATGAGACTAGGAGGATTTTAAAGGGCGTGTATCTTGTGGGGCTTTTGCAAACCCATGCCACTGAGCAACGGTTTTACTGCAGCATTGAATGGTTGCACTTTGGCAAGCCATTTAATTTCAGAAATCCAGTGGAAAATGAACATTAACACTCAAGGGCATTATGGCTGTCAATGCAAAACACACAACAGAGCCTCAAGTGTGGATACCAAACTAGCATGGGTTGGATAAAAAAACGAACGAATGCCTTCTCTGAGTGGCATTGTGATATTGACAAAGATGCCATTGGAGAGAATGGGATTTTTAGCCCACAGGGACAAAGTTGCAGTGCAGTCTCTGTTAGTCATCATCACGTCCGTGTTTATTATGCATGCCTCAACAATGTATGCCATCAATCCACGGAGGGTTTTCGTGCGGACACTCTGTAATTACTATGAGCTCACGAACGACCTTTATCTGTGATAGGGCACCACATAAAACACGGCTAGAGTAAATGCAGGTCGTTCACAATCTGTAAACCTGGACTATGAGATTGTTTTACTCCCACATTCCAAACACCTATTGAATTCTAATAATGGTACTCAACATCATCCTCAACAGCCATGATCAATCTGCTGCTGGATGAAGGCCTCTGCATTTAATCGCCACCCCCCGCTCCGCCCTCTCCCCCTTTTGTGCTGTGATGCCACAATCCATTTTGCTCCTCCATCACGAGCCAATTTCATCGCTCCATCTCTGTGGTGGGCATCCGCTCAGCCATTCCATCACCAGCCTCGCCCACCGGATACATTGTTAGAATTAGCAATGTGTTCTCTTCTTAACGGTCAGTTTTCTAACTGGTAAATATTTTTTTTTATATTTTGGAGAGATTCTTTTTGTAAGAATATAGAATGGTTTATTTGAATGTTTATGACTTGACAAGGGGTTACGACTGTGCGCTATTGTACAAAATATTCTGTAATCATACAATATTATAATTGGACACTGTTTAATAATAAAAATGGGCATTTATCTTTTATATTTAATGACGGGTTTTTTGTATAAGGAAATCAGTTTGTACCGACAAACTCATTATTCGCTGTTGTAAGCCCTACGAACAGTGGATCGGAGAACAACGTGTGCATGTTCACTGATAGACAAAATTATGGAAGACGAACCCTCCACTGGCACCATTTATGTAGGATATTTACTTTTTTGTAAATATCCTACATCCAAGCTATAGTGCGCACATGCACACATACATAAAAAAACAAATAGTGCATTCGCAGCAGTGGCCTAAATTGGTGAATACAGAGCATGGCGTCATAATACACAGGCTAAATGGTATACAGTGACGTTCAGAAATGTCTCTGTTTGCTTGGAGGACAATCTATCAGCATGGGCATAAATATCTTTATATATATACCCGAAGATGAATATAATTATATTTTCCAAG